CACGATACGACGTATTTAAAATTCTTAAAAATTTTCAGATCTTCCGAGAAATGTTCACAATTATGTACATCTTCACAAAACTGCATTAACTACGCAAGTAACAAGAATCAATTTCGGGCGAGCGAGATTGTCACTCACAGTTCTGGGAAATGCAATGCTCCGCCTCCCCACATAGAGATCTCATCGCGGCGCCGAACTGGGGGTCTTTGTCCAGCCTCTTCCTCCACCTAAGGCGATACAGTAAAGTAAATATCCGAGAAAATCGATACATGCATCCCTCCCGAGCAGATATTCAACGTAAATCAGAATCGATCACGTGATCGATTTACCGAATTTATCACTCACTTTGCGGTATCCTGTGCTTCACTGCAGTCAACTTCCTTAGGCCAACCGCCCTCCACATGAACCTACTTCAAAGCGTACTCAAAAACCATCCAATCGGGATTCACCGCCTCCTCAATAACCCTGGCATATATCAAACGTTTAAGTGTGGGTGAAAAATCCCGTTTCCTATGCGTAAATAATTCATTGATACCAACCACTCGTGAAACAACGCTACAAAGAACTATATCGCCGCTGACTAAAGAGTGAGGTGAGAAGAAAATGCAGCATCCCGGGATCGAACCTGGACGCTTTCCTCTAGATTTATCATGTTATACACCGAATAAAATCAACAACAATCTATAAACTCTAAGCCAATTTCTCAGCAATTCTCAAATTTTTCTCAGAAACAACCGTCACGCGCCACAAAATTCATCATGCCGATATTGTTCAACTTATTATGATAAGTTGAATAGGGATGTAATAGAGTTTCACGACTACCCGTTTTACGTGAAGTGGCGTCGTAAAACTTGGTGAAAAACGTGATAGTCGCGATGATATGCAGTAGCCGTGAAATATATTTTTCACTAGTTTTTTCATATCACTAGGATGAAACTCCAATGATCTAATAACAAACAATATGCTATTTATATACATAATATTAATTGCGGAGCGAGCGGAGCACATACCGCAACAACAGGAACTTTCGCGTTGTGCGTGCGTGCAGAACTATTCTGGCTTA